GCCTTTTGCAAGCGCAACAAGATTTCTAGATTTGTATAGCCATACGTGGCGATCGTTTCGCGATAGGCCACAGAGAACATACATAGGTCATTCTTCCGGAGAGCCGTAAAACTCCGTCTAATCTATCAATTTTGGCACAAGGAACTGGGTGTTTTGGGGGGCATTGGGTAGCGTGTTACCCAAAGAAAATATTGTACTTTGATCATTGTAATTCGGTTCATGTTGTCGAGGTTGTGGTATGTTGTATATTTGGTTTGAGGTTGGAATCGACGCTCGGCAGCCGAAGTGGCTGCTGAAGTCGACATATTCAAATGTTCGGTATGCTTTGGCAGAGGCAACTAGGTTTGTAGATAGTGATAGAACTTTTTAGAAAAGTATCGATACTAGTACTCATATAATAATAATAATAATAGATTGGCGCTTACACATATGTTAGTTTTTGGCCGAGCTTCTCCTCCGACTTGTGGCGTGCGCCTTGATGTTGTCACACAAAGCGGAGGGACCTACAGTTTTACGCCGACTCCGAATGGCGATTGTATTTTTATTAGAAGCTGTTTTTCATGGCAGAAATACACTCGGAGGTTTGCTATTGCCTGCCGAGGGTCGACCGCTGTTAAGAAAAAACGTTGTTTCTAAACTTTTTGCGATGTTGCTTTGACCAGGACTTGAACCCAGGTGCTGCGGAGTGGAAGCGCGCACTGCTTACCACTACACCACAGCGGCCGACTCATATAGAATACTCTAAAAAAGTATCGATGCCTTTACTCATATTTGCAAAAAAGTATCAATAATACTCATACTTCCAAGTATTCTCAAAGCAAACGCAAAAACTGAACAAAAATCAGATTGCCTTGCCTTTTTCACCTCTTTCTATTTGTAAATTTAATAGTCATTGCTCTTAATAGTTTTAATCTGATCTAAAGGGGTTTTTGGAACAAACTTCCGATAAATTAGTTTTACATGCGTAAATTAAATGTTTATAGCAAAAAGCTTATTTCCAAGTTTTTAAAAGCAAATATTTTATAACTGTTTGACGCGTACATGTATTTATAGATAACTTTACTTTGAAAATGAAATGCAAATGTAGAAGACGAGAAGCAAATGTGGTGAAGCCCGTTCTCTATTGGAAAGATAAGCTCTCTTTTATAAAAGTGTTCTTCAGGAATGGGCTGGATTTCACAACGAAGGTAGAATACATGGGTTAACGACGGCTGCCTTATACTGGAGAGTTGTCAAGTTGTCGAGTCGAAAGGCCATCCTCTTCCCTCGTTAATTATCAAAGGGGAGGCAAGATATTCGTTTTGCAATTAGTTAAACATTTTTACCCGAAGCCAATGTTGAAATGACCGCTAAATTTTCTTCTAGGTTGTGTAAAAATTGCATAACTGTGTCAATTACCAGTAACTCGCTAGAATAAAATATGTATTAATTATTACTATGGGAGTATACATATCGTCACCCGTATGCCATAAACATGAATGTGTAAAAATAAAAATTTTGATGGTGAAAGTAAGAATCCGGCTGCTGGTCGACACAGTTGGCTTTTTGATTCCGTAAAAACTTCATGAGCAAGAAACGCTATGTTTTCAGATCTAAATATTTTAGCATTCTTTCCAAATTTCTTTCCATAATTATCGATTTTTCTTTTAAGAGTTTCATGGAACTTTCGCAAATATTTGCAGCAACAAATTTTTTTCAACATGGTTGGCGACCGAAAGAAGCTTTTCTTTTTTCGAACACCCAATAAGGCAAACTTCAAACAACTCGCCTTTTGTAATAGCATGATAGCCCAGAAAAAACCCGTTTTTGTTGAAAACGGCTGAAAACGGCGGGCTAAGTAAAATAAAATAATAAATTGGGGCATAGGTTCTCACTTATAGTTTTGTTTTCCATTTAACATTTTCTTTTAATTATTCGAACTTTAAAAATAAAAATGCACTTGAAACTTACAAAATAAACCGGTTGCGCAAACAACGTGTCAATAACGTTTTGAAAGTGTAGCTTTGGTTTATTGCTGTCTCACGGTGTTTTTTATTTTACAAAAACAAACTGAAGTTTGTGTCATTTTGGTCTATTTCCTATAGAATGGCAACAAAAAATAATGTAAAACTGCCCTTAAGAAATTGGACTTTCGCACAGCCAAATGAATCATTTGACCTAATGTGCAATGCTTTGAACGATATGAAACAGAAACAGATACGAAAGCGAATAAATGGAACAATTTTCATTCTCTTACGAATTTGAAGTCAATTTTTTTATTCAAAATGGCGGTCGGACAAAAGATAATTTCGCAAATTTTTTCCTCAACAGCTTACAGATCTTAAAGCCTTCTTCAATGATCCTAGATGTACTAGCCCTGAAACAGTATCCTTATAGTGACATCACAAATTTGTAGGATAATTTTCTCGAGATCTTTACCCCGTAAAATTTGTTAAAAAAAGTTGTTAAATTTTAGTATAATAAAGTGCAATTTTTAGTCGCTAAGGCTTACAATTATTGCTTAGAAGTTTTGGTTTTGTTGACGGTGTTACGCATTTTTTTCGTACAAAGTATGTTCGACCTTTTTTTTTAAAGAGGAGAAAATGAGCAGCACTTTCCACTCGCACTTTATTATACTCAATTTTAATGAGTTACAAAACTGCAAACCAAATATTTTTTCTAAAGATTCTATTTAAAAAGTTTGAAATTTTGGTGAAACATTGCAGAATTAATTTTTAGTTTTTTGCACAAAGTTTGAAGTTTGGTATTATATGGTTTTTGTTAGGAAAGGTGCTTTACTTTCATAAAATAAACAATAAACATTAAATAAACTAAGGAAAAATAGCCAACACTTACTAAAATGTCGAGTCCTAATTTCTATTTTGGTCACTGTATGTATTCCTCGATTCGAATCACCGTCATTCAGATTAGAAAATAATAATTGTTTATGAAACAATTACGATCATATACAAACATCACTTAAAACTCGTTCATAGGCATGCCATTTTAATGAGTGGTTAAGGCGTCGAAACACCGAATATGGGGCAAATACAGGACATTAGAAGAAATACAGAACATTTGGCGTCCCGTATAAAATAAATAAATTACCAGAACAATGGGTCAAAACAGAGGACTGTCACGTATAATACCGGACGGATGGTTACCGTAAATATGGCGATCAATTTATAAAAAAGTACTGAAATTAAAACCTTAATACTGAACGTTTTAAGCATTTCCATGGGTTGAAAGTCGTTAAAAGTGGGTTTCTGGGTTTTCTGTGTACGATTCTGATCTCAGCAGATTTTCAAAATTCAAAATGCTGGATCCGAGTTTCAAACAAATCCAATCATTTTTTAAAGTTGATCGCCATATTGGATCCGCCATTTTGAATTTTAAAAATCTGACATCAGATGCGTAATCGGCAACCCCAGAAAACCACTGCTAACGAGTTTCAACCCATAACAATGCCTAAAACGTTCAGTAGCTGTCATACCTAAACAAAACCGTTGGGCGGAGCGTTTTCGACTCCTAGCGTTAACGCCGAAGTACTATACCTAAACAAAAGCGCCAACGCTACGTCAAATGCAGAAATAACACCAACAACAAGCATGGGTTTGTTTGTGTGATATACGAAAATGCCAGTTTCGCCGTTTTCTGCAGCCAACTTCACTTCCTAACGCCCTGTCAAAATCGGATTTTCCAACCGCTGAGCGTTGATGCCGCGTTATTTCGGTATGTTTCATACAAATTGTATGAGCATGAGAATTTTTTGACAGCCTGACAACGCTGACGCTTTTGTTTAGGTATGGCAGTAACAGCGTAATAATTAGCGTTAGTAATTCTTTATGAAATTGATCGCCATTTCGAATTTAAAAAAATTTACTTCAGATTCGTAATAAGCGACTCCAAAAACTCTCGAGTGCTGAGTTTCGAACGAATCCAATAATTTATATTTTTTTTTAATTGATCGCCATATTGGTATCGCCATATTGAACTTGGAAAAACTGACAATGCTTAAAACGATCAGTATCAACGTTTAAATTTTAGCAGTCTCTTTTCGAAAGCATATTTACGGGCACATGACCCATTCTAACTGTCCAAGACAGGTGCGTAATTAAGGGAATGTTCCCCAATAAAACCAGAGTGATTAAATGTAAAAACAGCATTTTTAGCGGCATTTTAACATGTCAAGAAAAATAAAAAGTTGAGATCATCAGCGTTTTTATAAAAACCCTACCAGCGCGACCTTTAAAAAACTTTTTTTTTCAAAATAAAAAAACACGTTTCTCTTTTTTTATCACAAAGAACAATATTTTGATGTAGCGTTTATGAGTTTCCAAAAAGAGTTTTTTTTGAACGACTCTAGTATACACATATTAGTTTCATGAGTTTTAGATAAAGTATAGCTGGCTTCCAAAACGTATCAATACAATGCTTGAAAACTGTTATACTGCGGTATTCAAACTGTTTGTATATGCAGAGTTGCGACACATTGCAACCATATACATTGTATATTTTAAATACTCAATAGGGATATTCTCTGAGTCTTGCAAAGCCCTTGCATGGTGCACAGATTGCACGGTAAAAACCGGTTTTCGTATGGGACAGCTTTGCAAACCGTGCAATCCGTGCACCGTGCAAGGGCTTTGCAAGACTCAGAGGATACCCCTAATATACCAATGAACAATTTTTATGAATTTTCCATTTTTAAAACACCAATGGTAACCAATATCAAACGAAGCATCAACTTTGTTTCTAATGCGCTGATTGCGCTAGCGATGCGTTTCGATAAATTTTCGGATGCGTTTTGGAAAAGTATACATCGTCAACATTTTGTAGTTCGGCGTTATTGAACGTTATACTTTGTACGTATGCATAGCAATTGACGTTTTGGAAGGCAGCCTATCTATATTTATCAACACAAGCTATTAATTTAAAAAAGTATTAAGCCATTTACACACCTACACCCATTTACGTACTATACTCACTATATTTTTTAATTGGAAGTTTTTTTTTTGAAGACGGACATATTTTCCGTAAATGCGGCGAATTCACAGCTGAACAATTCCGTTCCTATCGCATTGTTACAATACGCACAATAGAATCAATTATGAATCGTCCATTATCTGCCACCGAACAAGAAGTAATACTATTTCCACGAATTTGTTGCAATACATCTTGCAGGGAGTATGATTTTAAGAAACTTGTGGACTGCGAACACTGCGGCCAGGTATTTATAATTTACATAACTAAGAACTTAGTGGCTTAAAAAAA